GGCATGGCACACACTTATCTGCGCGAAGCTGTGGAACCCTGTTCCCGTATAGTGTTCAAATGAAAGACGATAATAAAACCAAAAGATGTGTTTTTATTTTATTGTTAATATTATTTCGAACAAAATAAGAACATTCCCCAGTCGAGCAACACTGGATTGCCGCAAAAAACGAGTGTGATGGGAGGCCTGATGAGTTCAGCCAAAATTGAAAAAAAATCAGAGTGTAAGAAGGTTCACAACGCAAAAACCAAACAAATTCATGCCAAGAGATAATCCATTGTTCGATCGTTCATCGAATTTGACACAAATGACTAGCGAAGAAGAACATTTATCAAGTGAATGCAATATGTATGTACATGTGAAAATGTAAAAACTAACAGAAATACAAGTGATTACCCATCGCCATTGTCATAAACAGTCTATGCAGGTGTAAACAGAATAATTTGTAGCTGCGTCGAATCTGAAACAGCACGAATTACTCTGAATTACAAGAACAATATTTATTAATTTCATTATTTTTGTTGGTTACTTCGATATACCTTAAGGGAGATACACGAGGACCATAGTAGTTAATGATGAAGCCGGAGCCATCTGCTGGTTGAAGAAGTTGTAGTGCAATAAGTACAACATCAATGAGCCAAAGAACGAATAGGCCTCCCAATGAAAACATTTTTATAATGCCTGAAACTTTCTGCTGATCATTCTTTACACCAACACTCACAGTATCTAACAAGTAAGAACACTGAAAATTCTTTCACGTACACCAACTTTTAAGTATATGCAGCTTGAACAATTACAAGAATAAAAGCCTACCAACAGCATAGTATCCAAGATACATCCTGTCAATACCCAAAAAGCCAAGAAATATCGATAACAACAGGGCAGTTGAGTGATGAAGGTGAGCGTGGTAACTGCATGAATTTGGTTTCTGAATGAAGAAAACTTAAAACGCAACAAAGGACTCGATAAGAATTCGCGCATGACGGATGACAGAGGAAAAAAGTCTTTGACGTTTGACGGACATCTGCAATCGATTTATTCCTTGACCACTACCTATTGTATCCGTTGGTTTCTATTATAAGTATAGGACTGAGCAGTCTCGAAACCACTACCGTCAATTGCAAAAACACCTAGTAATCCCAATGACATAATTCATGAAAAACTAGCGCGAGCAAAGACCGCCTAATGGTTGTTAGGGTCAAAATTTGGGATGGCGCTACATACCCACTTGTAATACTAATGTTTGAAATTAGAGACGACTGCTGGATACCGTTCGTATAATATCGGGCCACATTCATAGTTTAGTCAAAACGACGGTTCGATCACACAACCGAAAGTTGGGTAGATACGCATCGATCGCCCAACCGTTCGACCATAGATCGTGTGATCGCACATATATCATTTACACTGAAATCGGTTGTGCTATAGGACAATCGGTCGGGAACTATAACTACTGCCTCATGGATTAGAATGATGCCAGCTTTTACGGCAACCGCATCAAAGTCGCAATTGTGAGAGTGGTGAATCACTGTCTTCACTGATGTTGGACATAAAGGTCCCCAAAAAGATTTGAAGTCAGCAGATAAGTACTTCACTTTTTTGGACACTGACGACCTATCGGAATGTGGCGTGACCTTTTAATTTCTCAAAAGCTCAACGAGATCAAAGAGGATGCTAAAAGTACACAAAACTGGACAGCTTTCAAAGCCCAAATTCAGCACGGAACAAGTGGAAGTTTTGATGAGAAGGAATCAGCATGGAATAGCATATAACAAGGACAGGATATAATTATTAGGTTGTCGGAAAAGTTCTTGCGCATTTTCTTGTTCACCTTGCAAAATCTTTTGGGATCGTTTTGAAACATTCACTGTTAAACGCATGTGAGCGGTGGTTAATGCTCTCTCCACAGCATTTCTGTCGTAGCATTTCGCAGCGTTTGAAGCTTAAAATCGCCTTTCACTGAAGGTATGTTCGACTGCTCCTGCCTTTATAAGCCCACAAAATGCGTCGATTGAAGCGAAGCAGTGGGAGTTCTACGTGTTGTGATGAACCTCCGAACTATCTTTCACAATATGCCAATTATTTGGTTGCCGAGTTCCAGATACTTGAGAAAAAACCACAAATCTGGTCAGCCTGCCATCCTCATTGACGAGTGTATTCTGAATGCTTAGTGCAATGCACGGTAATTGGCGGAGCTCTTTCAGTGCTACCAGACCACAATGGCCGTTCCTCAATATCGCCTCTAAAGAAGTGAAATTATGGCGAAAGGATATTTTGAGATCTGACTGACCACAGGCTATTGAGACCATTTTAAATTTTGCAAAAAACACTTTGATTTGCCCGCCCGTCTATCGCTTGATCCGCCAAGACTTTGGTTTTGGTGGTGTCAAGAAGTGGAGATCCTCAGATAAACCGCACGCGAAAGCACGAGTGGCATGGATGCGTAAAACAAAAGGAATGCAATGCCGAATTTGAGAACTGCAAGGTTGGGAGGTAACATTGAAAGCTTCTGACGCTGCAAATGTTTCGCCGGAGAGCTGTGTTGGGTTGAGACAGTAATGTTAGCAAGTGGATTGGTTTCCCGGCATGGTGCCCGGAAAATCGGAGAAACTCTACTTTATGTCGGCAACGCTCGCCCACGAATTACGGAGAAGGTTCAGGAAAGGTCTCCAGGCTCGTTATAGAATGATCTGACCCACTTCGTGTGTACAGCAAACCTGGTTGAGACGGGCTGCCATACGCTTATGTTGCCGTCGAAGGTACTGAAATAGAGGCAGTTCGATGATCGGGACCTACTCGGATCTCTTAGCTTTTCGCTCCAGACGCGGGATTTCTGAAGGGCCGGCAACCTGAAGTTGCCTGCTGAAGAGAATATATGTTTCACCGATTATTGTGGTGTATGTATTCAGCAATTGTTGGCTGCACTAAAGAAGAAAAACAATTTTGAAAAAAAGTTGCCAAATGCGCAAAGACTTTTCCGACAACCTAATAAAATCAAAAATGTAATTGCCACTCGCTATTACAAACAGTGAAAGCTTGCTATTTGACGAAGCGGGACTTCATAAGTGCAGGTGTAACTTCCACTTCATTCAACGAAAAATTTCACTCCACTGATAAATGGAAATATCGAGTTCCATTGAGTAGTCCACGGCAATGGACGCCATTCGCGACTTTACAGGTAACTAGAACATGAGTAATCAATTGCGACCATTGTAGAGTGAAAGGAACTGTACAAAAAAGTGAAGAAAAGCAGACCAGTTACGGAGTTGTCCACATTACAGTTCAGCGGTTGTTGCGTCTCAGGATTGATTACAGGAGGTTCGCAAGCGTACCTAGGAAAATCACGTTCAATTAAGAAGTTGCCAGGACCACGCAGCCAATCACGCGAACTCCACAGCTAGCAAGTAGGACCCGACGGAAGGCGGATCTGATGAGTTTCACTTATCCAAACCCCTCATTAGGGATTTTTAAGGTAGGATTTTGTTTCGGCGACAAGGTGTTGCTTTAACACATTGCGGACCGCCGTTGTATGAGTACCTTCGTATATTTTTATATTTTTCAAAAATATCATCATTAATCTATCAACAATTTTATCAGTGATGACACGTATGGTTTCCCGGCTCTGAAAATGAGTGCAAACAGTTCAGGAGCATTGAAAAATGTCAAATAAATCAGATAAAACTATGCTGTTTCGTGCGAAATCGTGCGCCACATGGTGGCGCACGCGGTACGCAATGTGTTAAAACTAGGTAAGAAGCACCATAAGTTGTTTGGTCCAAAGTTCATCTGAACTCTCGCCATGAAGATTTTTTTGCATCGACCCATTACCAAGAGGCTGCCCAATGACGGTCTCTGAAATTGCAACTTCGGAAAGCGACTCGGTATTCCCTCTTCAACTCTTTGAAACATGTTCGGTGCTCTCAAGGTTCAAGCACACGTCTCTGGGATTGCGAAAAGTGGAAGTTCAAGAACTGTGCACACTCAGAAGGATTGGGCAATCACCTAGAAGAGGATGGCTCACAACGATGAAGCCAGCGTGAGTCACATTGTTTTTGATTCAACTGATAAAATGCAAAAAAGTTTCTGCAGGAGCTCGAGGTGCCCCGCATCTCTCTTACGGATTGGGTAATGAGAAAATTTTCGAACTAAACTTCTTTGCGACCACCAAAGTCAGAGGCAGTTGTTGCCAAAAAGTGAGAGCAAGTCTCCGAGATAACGTCTAGTTTACAACAGACTTTCTCCCGAAGGTGTGGTAGTTTGTGACGGGGTAACATCCAAAAGTGCAGCTCCATTGGAGTTCATCTTCCACAAATGTTAAACTTGCAAAAGACTTAATGAGGTACGGTATGTTGTTCTGGATTTACGAGCATTTTGCTCAATGGTTTGCTCTTCAATGAAGCTGGGCTCCCTAATACGCGTTCAATCGACCAAAGCCATCCTGGGCGCTCACTTCCCGGGCCACTGGAGCAAGGAATTGTGACCTTCTTCCTCTCAGGCCCTTAACCCGATGGACTCCTCTATGTGAGGTTGTAGAGCAAGACCTCATAAGACTTCTCCAGCTCGGTGGGTGCTCTGAAGTTAGCGCTTCAGAAGAGGTGGGACGACATCGCCGTTGGCTACCTGCGGCGCACTGCTGATTTTGTCGTTGGACGTCAGAAGGCCTCTCTCAAAGCAGAGTCGTCAAATTCAAAGCACCTTCTGCACAAGTGATCAAATAGCTTAACTCTATCTTTGTGTGAAGTCGGTTTCCTGATCGAGTCTCTTTCTTGGCTTTTACATGGAATAAACAAACCGCTCATAAAATTGGGAGCTCGCCGGAATTGAGCTATCGATGTTTTGTAATAAAACTGTGAGAACATCTCTACAGCTATGTAAACAGCCGTAGAAATGTTATCACAGTTATCCTATTACGAAGGCTATGCTAGGCTATACTTACTTACTTATTAGCACAATTCCGGTCATTCCCATGGTGCTGCAGTGGCAGCTGGAGGGCAGTGGAGGGAGGAGGGAGGATGGGTAAGGGGAGGTGGAAAACCGATCACCAACCGACCAAGGTGCAGATAGGTATTGATACGTCATTCGCCCGTCATGTCATGATTATGGCGATGCCTACTATATGGAACTCCTTTTTGTAGCATACGCGTCACCTCCAGATGTTGGTTCAGTGGAAGGACAAGTGGAAGGGACCACAGCGAAAGACATAAAGCTTACGCAGAAAAGGAAGTTCCTGGCGGTTGACGGGGGACCAATCTGGTATTAAAAAACCGCAAGTTTTAACCTTACCGAGAGCTCTTTTAAAACCTTGGTCTCCAAGGACAGACTACTGAAGAACAGACTATGTCGACTTACTGAAAAGTTCTGAGTGATTGACATGGTTTTAGGAGATCGACGTTCGATGATTCGCTGACGCCTAAATAAATTGAGCTTGCCAAAAACAACTGCCCACAACAAGGCCCGGAAGCAGAAGATCCTGACCATTTCATTGCCCTATTCTTTACCTGAAAATGAATAGAATATGGACAAGTACCACAAAACATGCAGAAAGCATTGATTCCATTTAATGAAAAAAAAAACGCTGGAGATGACAATGAGAAAACACTATTTCAAACAAATAGGGAGGTTGTGTTAGGCCGCGACTATACGACGTCTTGCTGTTTGAACACAGGAGCAGATAATAAGGGTGTGATTCACTATTCTAGCGGACCACTGGACCATGTGATTCTGTGAGCACATAATCGACACGTATTTATTTTACACTGAAATCGCAAAGTAGATGCAAAAGGCGAAAAAGTGACTTTCTGTCCTAGTGAATGACACCCGCGATGGCGTGGCACTGTTTTCGTCTGCTCCCTCAAGGCTTAGTTACCTATGGTGTGTATTTCGAAGCTGCCTTGCGATGGCGAAAGGGTAACTGTCCCTGAGACTAACAATAAGCTCTAGAGGAGCAGACGAAGAGAGGGCCGCGCCATCGCGTGCACCCTCCCAAACCCAAGTTCCATCCCGATTGGGTTAAAGTAGCCAATAGAAAGCCTTGATGGACGAAAAAAATTCGGTGCTAACTTGGGGGGGCCACGGCGGCGCGGCAGTCTGCTCACCTGGGCTCTCTCGAGCGAGACAGTGTAAACTCGAACATTCCAGCTTTTCACGCATGTCAAGTGACTGCCCCCACCCCCCACCCCCTAGACTGCTACACTCCCCCTGGCCCACGGATTTCCGAACATGCCAGGCGAGCAGACTGCCGCGCCGCCGCGTGGCCCCCCCCCCCAACTAAGTTAGCACCCAATTCCCTTGAGCAAATTACGAAACGGCGCAATGTGGCTCGGGGGGGCACTCTGAGAAAAGTCATCTAGGACTAAGCCTAAACAGCAGGGACGAACTCCGGAGAATACGAAAATTGCTTCCGTACACCGGAGTTCCTCTCCTCTTCAAAAGCTTAGTCCTAAACGGAGCGTTTCCGTGATTTTGACGCGATGTTGCGAGGTGCCCCCCCCGAGCCACATTGCGCCTCATGAAACCATGCGAGGACCATTTCTGCACGCCCCCCCCCTACCTCACCCTACCCCTCGCCTTCAAATACACTTGAGCCCACAACCCCTCTTGTGGCACTAACCACCCAAAGAAGAATAGGTGGTCGAACAGGTATACTCAAAAACAACATCGTCAGTTCCGTGGCCGAAGACTGCCGAATTGTTAAGTGTAAGTTGTGCACTTGCAGCAAGTACACATGCGACGCGCAAAAGGGAAGTCGGATTTCACAATATTGGTGCTACGGTTTCAGAAGTTTTTTTTCTCCTTTTTTGCACTCTTCCTCTAACTCGGTCGTTTAGCGCAATGTGACTTAGGGTGGGGAACGGAGCGCTATGTCCTTGGGGGAGGGACATCCAAGTGAATGAGCTAATTGCTGTGTTTGGGAGCGAAAAAAAGCTTAGCGCTACGAAATGCGATAAATTCACTTTTTGTCCAAGTGAACCACACCCGGGGAGTATGTGGGCTGTTTGTGTTCTCCTTGGGGTTTCACACCTCTGGGCTTGGACCTAGTCTCGCCTGCCCGTCCCACCTACCATTGGCTCTGTTTTGAATGTACCCCCGCCCCATGGGCATGAGCGCTTTTGGGACAGTCTGAAGGAAGGCCAACAGGGCCAAGCCCAAGAGCGCATTCATAGTCGGTCGTGCGATCATAATGAACCAGCGTTAGAAACGTATTGGTCGCCCATCCTCTGACGATGGGAGACGGTCAATTCAATCGTCGGCTAATGAGGTCACGCCGCTCACGCGGCGAGAATCGTCGCGCGCGGCAGTTGGTGCGGCGATTTCTGTGTGGACCTTTTCTTAACCATCCATGTCCATAAGTTGGCTAGGTGACTGATAAGACCAGAGTGCTGGACATCAGTAAGCCAGCAAGCGTCACTTAAGATCTCCAGTGATTTAAGCCTCACAGTACAAAGGTTGTACCATGTAAAGGTTGTCCTTTTGAATTTAATTTGACTTCTTTATTAATCAGCTGCCTGAATTTCTATCAGAGAGTGATAATCTGGTTCAATCGAAAGAATATTACGTTCCAAGACACAGAGGAACGGTGAGGAAGGCGCTAACATAAGCATGATAGGATAAGTTTGTAATAATGGCAAGGGACAAGAAACTGCATTTCAAGGGGTTAGGTGATTCCTATTCCATGTTTTATGACTGAAAACTTCATCTAATCTTACATTCCCCAATGTATAACCCTTGGGTGAAATAGGCACCATGGTGCTGTGCGATCACGAAAAG